TGGGAGTGAGCGGCTGCTGCTGTTCTTACGACGCCTGTCTTGATCCTACAAAATATCCCAACAAGGTGATAATTTGACGTTTCACTGAGTGATGATTGAAGATAGTATTTTCTACTTCAGTACCCTGGCAACCCACTCAAGTGCTATGTCGGATTCCAAAGCTCATACAACGGAGGTTTAAGTGTTGGGTCAGAGGTGCTGTTGTCATCGCAATGAATAGAAAACGTATTCAAATTAACAGCTTTGCAGGTATATTGCAATGGAATGTGCGGAGCACTCGCAACACGAGTCAATGGAAACAATGTCACCACCTATACCTGCGCACCTCGTCAAGTCTGCCGGTGAGTTTGCGTTTGTTCCCATGTGACAAAATTTTCCGAACCCTTTCTTTCGTTAGGCAATTGGAGCTTTACGATGAATGGAAGCCTCTACCACTGGATCGTGAAGTTCGGGCTTTGTGTTGTGACAACTTCAACAACTGCAACGTTCGCGACCCCACAATCAATACCACTACCCCAGTGCGACGTCAGCCTGAATTCCCAATCACCTGCTATAGCGGAATTCAAGTGAATGGCAACTGGGTCTCCAATGCTGGGTATGTGAGATACCAGTTTAGATTAACAAAGTGTTATTAACTTGGAAAGCACAGATGGCAAGCGTGTAATGGCGACTGTGCTTCGATGAACATCAACACCACATCGAATGGACAAACGCATAGGCTTAGCTTGTACGCTTGCGACCCAACTGCTGTTTGCCAAGGACTGAGTAAGTCTTACTCATTTATACTTATTTTTTGAACAAAAATCATCCGCAGTTGGAAATTGAGAGAACGACTACGTTCCCTAGGAAAACAAATAGTTCTCAAAAGTTTATGTTAAATGATATAGACTGAATAACCCAAATTCTTCATATAACTGTGTATTGCTGATATAAGACTAACCCTCCGGTGGTGATGTAGGTTCATTAGCGTGAAGAGCAATGTATCCATTGCTAAAAGCTCTTGTAAGGTGGATGAAGCTGTGATTGTCACAGTCACTCTGATACTGTAACACCTTACTAGGGAAGTTTCAAAACGGTTGTTACTGCTAATCAGCTACAGTGACCGCGAAGTGTGAAGCTGTGATATATAGATATATTGCGGCATGCTGAGAGAATTTACAGTATATCATAGCAAAATTAAACAGTAGTAATAATTTGTAGTATAAAATCTAGTCTCGGCTATGATTGCAAATTTGTAAAAGCTAATCAAAAGGTGTCACAATGGAAACAGTTGATGTAATTATTCCGAAGAATTAGGTAATTTGAATGAGGACCTCGATAAAAATTGAAGGTGTTTGTTCAAATTACGTAATTCTCTTAAATAATTAGCACTTTTGTGGGTAGTTGAGTCTGAATAAAGCTATAATTAATTGTACTGGTTTGTTACTTCCAAAGACTGTACTTTAGACATGACTAATACCTGCGCAACACTGGAACCTGGAGTAGATGGATGCTGCTGCAACACCAACGGATGCATTGACCCCTCGAAAAATCCTGCAAAGGTAATTTCTGCCTTCCGACAGTAAAATGGCTTTAAAAATTCTAAATCCATTTTAGACCCCAGCCAACAAGCTTCAATGCTACGTCGGATTGTATGCTGTCAATGCGGGTATC